TCCCTAATGGCCCCAAATGTGACCTTTAGTTGAGTGCCGGTGTTCAGGAACTCGGGTATGGCGTCCCATTCAAACATGGGTCCCCCTCCCAGCACAAAGCCCGGGGACATCCCGCTGGCCACTGATTTGGTTCATAAAGGAACAAATGCCACAGACTGACGAGTCAACACCATGTCCTGTAGCAGCTGGGGGTCTCCTCAGAGGTCTCCCATCCAAGTGCCGACAAGGTCTAAGCCTGCTTAGCTTGTGAGGTTGGACAACATGTGCATGCGTGCGTGTGTCTCCAGAGGCCCCGTACCTTTGCATTAGGTCCATCTCCCTTCCCAGGGACCCTACACCCCAGGCCCGTGTCCCTTTCCTCCTGCAACAACCCTGGCATTTCTTTCCCACATTCCCCTGGGCAGAAACATCTAGCAATGCACGTGGTGGTTTTGCCAGGTCTGTGAGCAGGGACCAGCTCATTTCCACCTTTGCCCAAGTCCACGGAGAAGGGCACCAAACTCCCAGTGATGCTGAACAACCAGCTCTGCTCCGTTATCGTGGAGAGCAGCGCGAGAGATCAGAGCTGCTCCAAGTGCGCGCGCCCCTCGGGGCTCAGCTCGCATTGTGCAGACCAGCTCACCTCGACCCAGTTAAAATCTTTGCTGCAACCTCATCAGCTGTGGCCTTGCTAGAATCATTCACGTGCACGAGGGGCCTTGCTCTGCGACGCTGGGCTGGGGAAATGTTTAGCTATTCTGGTGCAGGGTGCCATTGAAACGCCCCTTGGGTACCCAGCAGTCCCCAGCAGACAGCTGGAGGAGCTCTCTCTTCGATGGCATCAGTCTAGTTATCCGCTCCCATTCACGAGGGCCCAGCGATGCTCTCACGATCTGTGCCAATCCTACGTACTCTTTTTAGTCGGTCCGTGTCTGATGCCGTAGCGGCTATATAACCACCAAAGTTGTGTGCAGAGGTTTCCTTGCTCAGCTGCCTCTGGATTATATCGCTGGGAACGTTTCTGAGCTAATGGAAGACGCTCACTTCCTATCTGTCAAAAGAGGTCCCGAAACAGAAAGGGCATGACTGGGTGCTCCTGTCCTTGCTGCATGCTGGCTTCCAGCAAACTCGCCGGGTGATGGCAATACATGGAAACACCTGGCCAGAAGGAACATGGGTCTTTTTTTGTTGGGGGGGATGAAGTTAGGGAAGAAAAGAGCGAATGGGAGACAGAGGGGAAATGCACCCTGCAACCTCCACCCTGCTCCTGGGAGAGTCACGTCTTCCTTGCCGGCGCTCAATGGTCTCTCTCGCTTCCCAGCACCACCAGGTTGGATACCAAGATGGCATAAAAATGCCAGCTCTCAGGACGTGGTTGTTGGCCCGAATGGGTGTAGGAAGTGAGCAAAACCAGGGAGCGTGAGCCCATCCAACATCTGCACCGCTTCCAAGAGACCCCTGCCTGGCATCCCATGTCTGCGTGGCACCGACAGCAATGGCACCCATGGGAAAGGGACACCAGGAGACACCGGGGGCTATTTTTAGCTGCAGTAAAGGCTCTGCCTCTGTTGCTCCTTGTTTCATCTCCCTCCACCCATCCACTGTTTTTCCTTAGCACCCCTGAGGGCACTTCTTGGCCCCTTGGCTCTCTTTTCCACAACACAAACTCTCCGTGCCAGTCAAGCCTGAATGATGCCATGAATGGGCATGGAGATGGGGACGCAGGACCCCAGACAACCGCAGCAGCGCACTGGATGCCTTGCATACAAGGAGAGCCAAGTGGCAGGTTCAAAGCTATTGGAGTAGCCTAGATGCAGACCTGTCCAAGGGAGCTGGGGGGTGTTGATATCTGCTGGCTGGGCTCTGCAGAAGATATGCACACTTGATGGAGGACAAAGCTGTTCCAGGCATGATGGGAAACACGGACAGAGGGAATGGTGCAAGGTGCACATGGGCGGCCAGGGACAGATGAGAGCAATCCTCATTTTACTGCCCCTTTCTGCAAGGTGCCAAGCTCTGGGATACCCTGGTCTAGAGCAGGGCTGGCCAACCAGTGGTCTCTGTGTGGGGCACAGGGCAGGTATGGGAGGGGACAGGTAGCACAGCAGCAGGGAGCAGAAAGCAGAGCAGCAGATCAGGCATGGGAAAGGGATCAGACTGGCACTTGAGGAAGGGGAAAGACTAATTTGTGGCCAAAAAGGCTGGCTCCCATTGGCTTAGAGAGTTTGACTGAATGAACCCAACTGGCTGCTACTGTTCCTAAATCGAAGGCCATTAAATGCAGGCCACAAAGTGTTAAACGAGCCACTGGCCAAACTGGGATTAGACTTCAAGAGGCCTGTTTCCTCTTGGCTGGGATTATGCTGCTTTATCTTCTTAGATGACAAACCAGGAGCCTGGGATGACCGATGCTGAAGTCAAATCTGCCTGCTGGATTTCACAGGGCTAAACAGAAGGGGGCCCGGTGAAAACAGCACTTTGCTGGCTTGTGCCCTGAGCCCGCGGCAACAATCAACAATAAAACCGAAAGGGAAGCGCAGGAAAAAAGCACCAACCCTCCCCTCCTTGCACTCCCCTCCCTGCTTGTGCAGAGGCTGCGACGCTCCAGCGATGGGCCCCACGTCTGAACCCTCAGACAAATAAATAACCCGAGATTGAGTCACCTGGGGCAGGGCCTGTCCCTTGGGCAGGGGCAGAGATGGGCCTGTGCCTGCAGAAGTGATGAGTGCCCCCAACCTGATGGGTTGGATCTGCCCGAAGTGCTGGACCTCCCCTCTGAAAACGAGGCTACACCAATGCGCGTCAGCTCAGACGCACGCTGCTCTTAACCGAGGATGAGACTCCCCTGGGGTTGACTCTTCAACCTGGAGAGTCCCTGTGCAGTCACTGGAGCCGACCAACTATCAGCTAATGATTGGAAAATCAGGATCCCAGGTCGCAACCGCTGGAGCTCTCCCCTTCGCCTGATCGGCAGGTTTGGGACTGCACCAGGGCTGCCCAGTAGTCCCCATCCTAGAGATGAGTGACCGCTGACCCACAGGGACCCTACTGGCCACACGTTCGATTTAAGGAGCAACGGAAACCAGCACAAAGTTAATCACATGTATTTTATGCAATAACTTGGTGGCTGGTTTCCTGTTTTATTGCACCATTAGCTGCCTGATCATGGTGCTCTCTCCTGCCTTGGGGGTCTTCAAGAGGAGCCTGGACCGATATTTGGCTGAGGTGTTATGACCCTGGCACTCGTTCCTGCCCGGGACAGGGTGTTGGACCTCATGATCTGTTTAGGTCCCTTGTGACCCCAAACACTATGAAACTATGGAGCTGGGTTACACTTTAAGACACGATTAACTGGTTAATCATGTCTAAAGTGTAATGTCTGGCTGATGCCTAAGACATAGGCAGGGCAGAGGGGAGAACAAATGACAGCAGTGACTTGGACTCACACAGCCCTCTGTGGTCTGGGTCCTTCTGGTCTCAAAGACAGACTGTTTCAAACCCTAAGCACAGCTGGAGGGGGTTTCAAACAGGCCTGGGCATGAAAGGGCTTGAATTAGGGGATTCTCAGGGACCTGATCCAGCTCTGGCCATCAACTCTGCCCTATGCTGCCAGGCACATCTACCTGGTTAGGTTAAGTGTGGACGGAGCCTGAACCAACTAGAGTCCTTTTAGTCAGCAGGAGATCTTGGCTGCATGTGATTCTTGCTAACTGGATACCTTAGCCCTCCCCAACTTGAGCTCGGAGGCTGCGACAGGTGTTTTCAGCGGCCTGGAATAAATAATGGTTTCTCCTGAAACAAAGACAAGCTCCCATCCAGCTCTTTACCTTGATGGGTGGTTTCCTGGTGATATGAGAGACGAGGAAGTTCATAGCGATATCCTCACAGTTGATGTATTCGTCTACCATGTCGCGGATGGCCTGGGGCATCACGTAGGAGTACAGGTATGCGTAGTACTGCAACACATAAGCAAGATTCACCAATTGTAAAAACAGAGCTGGGGCAACTGGTGACAGACTGACCTTGGGTGCAACCCAAAGTCCACGGGTGACAAACTCCCCCTGCCTCAGAGTCAGAGCAGCAAAAAAAAACCCCCTCTTTGTTACAGACCTGCAACTACCGAGTCCCCTGGCCAGGTTCCCCACAGCTCGCTGTCTCTGCCCAGTGGACTCCTGCTCCACTGGAGCAGATGACAGGACATGAGGAGTCCTGTAGGGACACGTCCCTCCAAGGGAATCAAGCCAGTCTGCTGCCCATTGCCTCCTTGCACAGGAGGAAGATACTGAACACGTCAGGGGGCCTCTCTCTGAATCTGCTCCTGCCCTGCTGTTTATGCCTAACACTCACCTGGAACACAAACCTCCTCAGGGCACCCACATTTCCACCTCCTGAGCCAGACTATCTTTTCCTGTTATATTTTGTGCCACCCGTTACGTGGTAGCAAACCTGTTTTGGAACCTAATGCTAGATGCTCCAAGGGACAAAACAGGTTTGCTACCACGTTCTTTCCTGGAGGAACTTGGGGGAATAATCTGCAAAGGTGCCAGAGGGATTTGCAATCTCAGTTTCTCTTCAACTTGGGCGTCTCAATCCCCTTGCTCTCAGCCTTAGAGTGTTTCAGTTCTGATGTGCCTCGTAGCTCTGCTGAAACAGGCCTTCAGTACGATACGTGGAGGCACAGCAGTGAGCAGACATGGAGACTCCAAGCTCGGGAATCTGAATCTGGTCTTCTGCAGAGCAGGTCAGTGGATTTGCTAACAGACAACGCCGTGACCCACAGCACAACATCCAAGAGCCTTGCTGAAACGGGACAGGACCTGTTTTCAGTCTCTCTGCTACATGCATCTCTCCTAAAACGAGCAGCATCTCCCGGGACACTGAGATTCACTGTTATTTGGCCAGGTTTAAATTTGTGGGGAGCCATGGAGCCTGCTTGGGCCATTGGAGAAGCAAGAGTCAGTTTTGGAATGAGCGTTTCTGTTGCAAAAGATCAGCCTTTCTATGAAGTATCTCAAGGCTGGAAAAAGGTACGTAGGGGCGGGCGGGTGCTCTAAGACCACTTGCTCTTACCTTGTGAAAGAAGGCAGCACCAGTGAGCACCATGGACAGTTCACACGAGTAGTTAGAGTTATAGAGCCAGGACTGATGGGGGATGTCCCACGCGTGGTACCGTCCGGGGAATCCAACGATACGGTCCCTCGCCTCTCTCCAGACTCTGCCAACAGAAAGGAGACGTTTCAGTGGGAAAAGGACATTAGCACACCCAGACGCTGGAGGAGACAAGAACCACCCAGCTCACGACGGCAGCTCGGTGGTAGAGGATCCGCCGCAATTTGGGCTAAACTCTGAGTGTTGACCTCCCTTACTGTGCAAGTCCTTTTCAAACACTGGGTGTCATGCAACTAATAGACCGTTCTCTACTCCGCACATTGATCCAGACTGGTGAGACACTAGGCCTAGGTAGGCCAAGCCTTGGCTGGGATGATGTAGTTGGGGGCTGGTCCTGGAGCAGGGGGTTGGAGTAGATGTGGTTGCTGCGCTCCCCCTTCCCTCTAGCTGCAGCCCAACCTAACTCAGAAATGGCTTGAGAGGGGTTTTCCACAGGCGTTCAAACAAAAAAACCCAACTCCAACTCCATCCAAATTGCCTTCTGGGCCAGACAAAGCAGAGAAAATTAAAGCTCAGTGAAAGGCGAAGAAAGTTATGGGCAAGCAAAAGCAGCTGTAACAGACCCTGTTTCGTCTGCTACCCAGTCCCCGCTCCGCGTGAGGATCCGCTATTTTAAATGTTTTCCGCAATTGCCGTTTCTGATCCCACCCCCCTCCCTTCCCAGAGACTTCCTCTGAGAGAGGAAAAATGCTCTGCCTGTAGTCAGAGCCTGGGCCTGGGAGTCAGGAAATCCAAGTCCTGTTCTTGGCTCTTCTTTTATCATTGTGAAGAGGTCCTTAAACTCACCCTGGTGCTCAGTTTTCCCATCTGTGAAATGGGGATAATGTTGACCCGTCTCACTGGGGAGCTACAAGGCTGATACTTTCCGCATGTGTAAAACACCCCGACACTCACAGATGTCAAGTGCTGGCCTTCTGCCAAGCAAGAACTGGTTCGGGGCTTTGCCCATGTCCTGACACTGCCACCCAACTGTGTGCGAGATGGACCTCCCGCCTGCCAACATCCACTCTACCCTTTTGCCCATTCAGGTCCTGGTGCTGCGGGTGCCCCATGTAAAGGCTCTTTATGCTTCCTTACACCTTGACACCTCCATATCAGAGAGCTCAAGACCAAATGGGAAAGGTGACCGAGGAGAGCGAGCAAGCGCTCATAATACTCTCTCCTTGTTTGATCCCCTCCCCTCGGGAGAAGCCTGCAGGGTTACTGGGAAACCACCAGGAATAATTAAAAAGCACACCAGTAATGCCTGACCTAGGAATGATTCCAACTCGATGTTGCAGGGCTGCTGGCTCTTTTCAGATCGCTTCATTTGATCTAATAAATGCCTAAGACCTACTGTATTTACTTGAATCCAAGACTAGGTTCTCTCTCCCAATCACCGTAGGGGGAAACGTCTTAGATTTGAGTACCTGCCTGCCTTAGATTTGAGTAACAGGTGGAAGCACAGCTCTGCACTCAGGGCCGAAGCCGGAGCTAAGCTACGGCCTGCCCCAGGCTGGGGTGGCTCATTCAGTGGGGAAAAAAGGAACGTGGGGAAGGAAGCGCAGGAGGAAACGGCGCTGTGGGGAGGGTGTGGGGGAGACTGTGTGGTAGGGGAATGCAGGGGGAGCAGGCACAGGCCCTGCCGCTGCTTTGGTGGGACAAATTACATCGCAACTATTAGGGGGTAGCCTTAAATTCAAAGCAGTCTTGGATCTGGGTAAATACAACAAATTAACTCTGGTCTCTAGTCTAGCAGAACACGTCCTGCGTGGGAGGCTCCTCGCTGCCAGAAGGGGTTTTCCCTTGATCACAGCTGGGAAACAAGCCAACACTTGGGGACCATCTTCCACCCCGTAGTGTAGACGTGCTCCCACCTACTCCAACCTCCTTGGAGGTGCTAACGGAAAAAGTCTGGAAGCCCCCGAGTGCTCATCACACTGGCTATCATGGTAAGAAAAAAAACCAACACGTTCCCTATAGTTGCTGCCAATAAAATGAACGAAAATCCAGTGCAACGCTGTAATGCAAATGTGAATAACTAAGGCTGCCAGCTTCTTTACAGCCAGCGCCCGCCTGCCAGGCACCTCCTTGTGCATATTTCCCATCATCCACAAGGCCTTTGTTTTCAAAGTTGGGGCACAAACGATTCAAGCACCGATGAACTCTGTCCACCCCCTTCCCTTTGTGGTGCTTTCTCTGCCAGCACAATCGACCCCTGGAATTCAAGAGCCACTTTTATTTTCCCTCACATAATTATCTACCTTTTTTTTTTTTCCTTTAACAGGTGCGCAGAGGCCTGGGCTCCCAGCCCCTGCTTCTTAGCAATATAATTGTCACTCTACTTACTGCTCAACAGCAGATGGAGGAAGACGAAGCGTCAGCCTTAAGAATTACAACCTACAGCACATAATAAGGTTTAGACAAATAATGCAATTATGGGGCAATGGTTACCAGGCAATGCTTCGGTCTCAAAGTGTCGCCAGTCTCCCTCCCCTTGGAAGCAGGCGCTCTCCGGTGCATTAACAGCAGCAGGCAATGTCGGAGAAGAGTGCTTTGAGGACGGGAGAGGGGGGTGAACAATAATAATACCATGCACTTACAGAACAATTTTCCTTCAAGGCTCTCAAGCATTAATCAATACAGCCTTAACCAGGCACTGCTTTAAGGCAGGTAAGCATCGCTGGTTTGCGGCTGGGGAAAAAGGGAGGTTGAGGGGACGGATGGGAGCTGCCGGGGATGACACAGCAGCGAGACTACCTGGTTCAGAGAGGTGAGAACTAAGTGGAGGTAACTACCTGGTCTGATGCTGATCCCACAAAACCACCCCACCGGCGTCAGCAGCAGTGCCTGAGGAAAAGGATGACTTTTTCATAGAGGTCTTCCATACCTCTGCTTTAATGGCTCATTTGTTCAGTGCCCCATGGGGCTCTGCTGGGATTCCTGGCGTTTCTGCCATTTACCCCCCTCCCAACCATCAGGCCAACCCATCCCTCTGGCCGAGGGGAGCTGGCTCCCCTCCCCACCTGCCCTAGCTCGCTGATTGTACACCAGCAGTGTGCTCTCGTTGCAAAAATACCCAACAGCCTCCTGGGCTGTATTAACAGGAGTGCCACTCGCAAATCAAGGGCAGAGATTCCTCTGCTCTATTCAGCACTGGTGTCCAGTTTTGGGCCGCAAACTTCAAGAAGGATGTGGATGGATTGAAAAGAGTCTAGCGGAGGACAACCAAAATGATTAGGGGCCTCAGAGGCATGACTGCTGAGGAAAGACTGAAAGAACTAGGGTTATTTAGTCTCCAGAAGAGGCGGCGGCTGAGGAGGGATTTGATAATAGTCTTCAAATACCTGAAGGGTGATTACAGAGAGGATGGAGATGGCTGTAGGGGACAGGACTAGGAAAAACAGCCTCAAGCTGCAGCAAGGGAAAATTAGGCTGGAAATTAGGAGGAACTTTCTGAGAGTGGTCAGGCATTGGAGCAGGCTGCCTGGAGCGGTGGCGGAGCCCCCATGCTTGGAAGTTTTCAAGAACAAGTTGGAGAGATGGTTAGCTGAGATGGTGGAGTCAGGGATGATCCGGTCTTGAGCAGGGGCTGGACTAGATGACCTCGTGAGGTCCCTTCTGGCCCTACTTTCTTAGGATCCTTATAAACAAGAGGCCAATGCCCTCACCCCAAGCTGATACTGGAACCAAAAACCAAGCAAGCAATAAAGTCTGTCATCAGTCTGCTGTGCTAGCTGTCACCCTGGACCAAAGGGATCCTGCACAGTCCCCAGGAGATACTCAGGAGGTGAAGGAAGCACTCACAGTCTCCTGTGATGAGAGCTCAGAGTCCACGAGCACCGGTTTCCCCAAGCTGACCCGGGTAGACCAAACCTTGGCTGGGATGATGCAGTTGGGGCTGGTCCTGCTTTGAGCAGGGGGTTGGACTAGATGCAACATCCTGAGGTCCCTTCCACCCTCATTGTCTGATTTTAAGGTGTTGTGCAGGAGGCCCCCCTGGATGGTGGAAAGGGAGAGGTGTCAACACCTTGGAAGGGGACTAAAGCCATGAATGAGGTAAGAGCTTCTCTCAGTATGCACCAGTGCTGGACTGGAATCAGCAGCACAGGAGCTACCCACCCAAGACTGATTCCCTATACAGAGGTGTCAACCTCACCTGGGGTCCAGGCCTGGTTTTGCACCCGGGGGGCTCCTTGCATGCTGGATCTGGCCTGGGGCATTGAGCAGTGGCTCCTGTGGTGTAGTGGCACTGGCCACCACAGTGGTAGGAAGGCAGTGTTGCATGGTCCTTGCTTGCCTTCCTACTGCCAAGGGCCATGTCCATCAGCACCCTGCCTGCCCCGGCCACATCCTCAGGCTCCACGGCCTGCCCACAGCCCCGCAGGCCAGACACAGCAGCTCCATGGGCTGGATCTGACCTGCGGGCCGCAGGTCCAAGGCTGCATGGAAACTTTAATGCAGCCTGTTAATGACTAAGTAGAGGCAACCCCAGTCCCCCTTACATGAAAATGCTCAGAAGTCAGTTAAAATCAAGGCTCTCAGTGGGTTTAAATAATTAGCAGCCAAAGTAGTAAGGGGTTGGTAGCATCCCCTATTTAGAGTTGCACAACATTTCCGATGACGAGGCCCCGCTCTCAGCAGCCGATGCATTTGCTGAATTTGGTCTGGGCTGGAATATTCTAGGCTACATGGTCTTCCTCTCACCAACTTTTTCTTTTTTTTAATTTCCATTCAATGCTGTTTTCAAAGCCTGGAAGAAACTTGGACGTGACCAATCTCTGCAATGCCTTGGCACTCCCCTGCTTTGAAGCAAAAACTGACAGCATGCATCTGTCCCCCTCCAGTGCTAGTTCTCAGAGGATGACAACTTGTTTCCGAGTTCATGGCTCAGCGCCTCTAAAAATCCCAGCTCTGCTGATGGCCAGCGTGAGCATCAGTGGTACACAACAGAGTTTCTATTGTGTACCATTATTTTTATTGTGTACACTGTGCACAAGACGGGGGGCAAGATGGGGAAGAGTGCAGGGAGAGGGGCTGATGCTTGTAGGAGCCTTGGTTCATTTGCTGGGGAAACTGGAAAGCAGGTAGCGAAGGAAGCAGGGCCTCGGGGCCAGGCACCCGGAGAACCAGATCTTCCCCTGCTTGTGACACAGTTTGCATGGGATGCTTAGTAACTCAGTGCTGGGACGACTCACTTTTTCTTGGTGCCTGATGCGAGACCCTGGGGCCTGCTCTGCCGAGGCACTGAGCGCTCGCTGCTGCAACTGAAGTCCATGAGAGCTGGGCTTCGAACGGCTACAGTGCTATACAATTATGCTCCATGCAAAATGAAGTCTGAGGCATCTCAGACTGGGCAGTCCAAATTAGCTGACACTTTTGACCTTCGCCTCCATCTCAGCTCCCAGCTTGTAGAATAAGGAAAATGCCTCCCTCCTGACTCCCTGCGCACATACACATCCCAGGGTGTTGCAACAATAAAGCCACCCCTTGTTTGTGAAGCTCTCAGGTCCTCAAATGAAGCAAAAAGCCCGTGAGGAAATGAATAATTCTTCCTCCAGAGCAGGGGAAGAATATTGTGCAGGGGACCGTATGGGGGACAGAGAAGAGAAAACCTAAGCACTGATCAGCTCCTCAGTGAGCAAGTGTTGCCCATTCTGGACCTGAAACAAAGGAGGGGTCCTGCAGAGAACAGAGTATGGCATCACGTCACTGCAGATGATGCATAAGCACAGGGGGGCCATAGCAGGACTAGGCTCTGGTGTTTCCTATTGTCAAGCCCTTCACTTGGTAAATGAATAATTGTCTTTCATCTTGGGCTTGGAGGGTGTGCGTGGATGCCTGTGTGTGTGAGAGAGAGACCCTTTCTGCATGTAGCTCCTTTCATCCACAGATCTCAAAGCAAATTTATGAGCATTCATTTAGCCCCTAGTTAGGTGCCTCAGCGCCGAGCAACTCTGGACGAGCTGGGTCGAGGGAGAGCGGCAGGTGCTCAGCTGCTCTGAAAAAATCAGGACATGCATTCAATAGTGGTGATGAATATTAAGCACCCTACTGCAAGCGCCCGCTTTTCAAACCACCGGTCTGCACGACTTGCCCCAAGGAAGCCAGGAGCGCAGGCAGGAACAGCAGCCCCTGGCTTTAACCATTAGACAACGCTGGACCGACCAGCAACCCCGCTCACCTGCACGTGTCCCCATTTTCTGCCACTCACCGGAACCCGAACATGATCTCATCGTGGCGAAGGTGGGCATCGTCATCTATAGAGAGAATGGCCTCCGTCTCGATCTCGTCCCAAGGCAGGAACCGGTTGTTCAGGCTGTTCTTCTCCGTGCGGACGACCTAGCATGCAAACACATGGCAGCGGTTATAGCTACGCGGTGCTGTAACGCAGGCAGAGATGCAGCCCGTCTCGGCTGGGCACGGGAACATCGCTCCACGCAGAGGTTTTCGAGGACCACTGCAGTTCGATGGAGTCAAATCCTCGGGCTGAGGATCTAGCCCCAAAGGATCGATGCTACATGTGACATTTAATTGATCGTCGCCTGAAAACTCCCTAATGCAGGCGAGGCCACGTCCCGACAATCACAGCAGCCCCTTCTGGCCTTAACATGCGTGAATCAGAGCATCGCTGAAATGAGAGATGAGAAGCAGCTACTTGAGCAGCCGCTGGAGGACTGGGTACAGTGATGTATTTTCCAATGCTTTGTCTTAACTGTATTGTGGGCTTAAAACACCCATCCCTTCCCCTGGGAGAGGAATCAAGTCTAAGACATTTCCAGGAAACTGCTCCAGATAATCATCCTAAAGTTTCTCTTTCATATATACATCCCTAGCCATACACCTTTGAGTCCAGGGTAAACTTTGCCCTCTCCTATTGATCACACCCTTCAAATAAGAGCCGCCTGCCAAATACTCTTCCCGATTCACTCAGGACTGAGCTGCTACCCCCCTTACCTCCCGGCTCTCTCATGTCTTTCCTTAGAAGTCAATCACACCACCCCTTTAATCAGTTTTGCTGCTTTCTGAACAACTTGGCTGAGGCTAAAAAAGCAAGTCTAACCTGGTGTAAAAGAATGTGGCATCGTGGCAATAAAACTCCATTAAATAAGATTACGTTTGATCATATAAAGAACCGCGCTGCAACCATTAAGGGTAGAAAATATTTGTAATCAGGGATCTGCATGACAGCTGGTACGATTAAATTCCCATGTAAAGCCAGAGTTAGTGCTTGCGTCTGTCAATAGCCACAGGGGAAAAAAATGGACCATTCAACAAGAACACATTAAAATATTTCACTGAAGCTCTGTCAAAGCATGAACAATTAATTGCAGAAAGGCAAACAAATTACGCAACTAAAAGCCAGAGCATATCAAGGCCAGCCCCGAGCCAGCAGCTTTCACGCAATCCTGGAGCTGCCGATTCAATTAATCCGCAGAGGAGAATATGGATGCTTGTCAAACGCAACGCAGGAAAGAGGGGAGGTGGAGAAGTGCCGTGCCGAGTCTAGCATTTGGGTTTATTTCAGGGCTGGTCAAACCGATCCGAAGGATGGTACCGTGCACACATACCATCTACTGTGGGGCAGTGCTTCATCGACTGGCATTTGAGACAAGACCAGGGGATGAGATGGGGGATGAGAGCTGCAAGAAGTGGCAGGGGATGAGAGCTGGAAGAGAGGATAGCGACTTGATGAATTCATTCGGGGAGGGCCTTCCTGGCAGAAGAGATGAACAACCGAATGGCCGAGGCCCAGTGTTGGGGTGACTTCATGCCAGCCGATAAGCAGAGGAGGACGAAGTTATGAAGGGTAACACTTGGCTCCCTGTTTCCATTGCCTCAAGTCCAGCAGACGGTTGTAAGAGAGGACCTGCCGTGCGTGAAACAATGGGCAAGAGAAAGGAGTTTGCTTGGCCTCTCGGAGGCTGGAGAGAGACGGATGGGAGACGGGGAGGGTCTGGGCTGTGCAGCCTGGGGACGGGGAGGACAAGGTCTTGGAAGAGTTGGACGCAGCTTGGGGGTGCCAGGCAAGAGAGTTGCACAAGTCCTGGATGACACCCTCCGGTCACAGGTCCGGGTGACACGGAGAACTGCAAAATTCCCATGTGGTGTCACTGGCTGGCCTTTCATCTTTGCCGACAATTCGGCAGCCCGTGCACGAGCAGCGCAAGTTCCTCCTAGAGCTGTTTCCACGAAGGGCAGGAGCTTGGCCTAGACCAAGGAGACGTGACCTGGGACAGACTCGAGGTGCAAGATTCACAGAGCAACCATGCAGAGAAAAGCCCGAGCTGTGCAGACCATTACTTGCACGGGCTCAGGAGAACGGGATTTACCGGGGCTCCAAACACCCACGGTCAGTTGACCTTTTTAATGTAGAGCCGTTAACCCCCATTTCCAGCTCTTTGATCGTTCATCAGCCGATGCCCAGTGACAAGTACAGGATCACCACTTTGTTACGTGGATGTGCAATGGCCTTTGTACACTTCCTGCCTCCTACACATTGCAGGCATTTTTCAGGACTTGTTGCTCGGTGCCCCTGCGTTAAGACAGTCGGACCAGATAAAGAGGCCGAGAGAAACGCAGTCCTGCGCAGAGCAGAATCCCCTTTATATTCATTAGGAACCAAATTCTGTCCCATCACCAGCAGGGATTTTTTTATGATCATTTCGAGATACGGTGCCATCTCGCCCTGACCTCTAAGGCGCGTGTCATGGTGACGGCATAGACTACTGATCATGCAGCCTGCAGGTTCATGCTTACTGATGGCCTAGGCCAGGGGCAGGCAATTATTTGGGCTCACAGGCCACATAGGCAACTCCGGGGAGCTGTTGCGGGCTGGTCAGCCCCACATCTCCTCCAACGGCCTGGAGCCCACGTGTCCTGTGGCTTCTCCCTGCCACTGCCACCATGCCCAGCAGCAGCCGAGTGCATAGCCCCAGCCCCGACCCCTGGTGTGTCCAAAGAAAAAGAGCTCAGGAGCATTGTGCTTTCAAAATCGGCTTGCTCTGGGCTTACCTTTGCTCAGATGCATTCATAAGGAGATAAACACCGTACGTGCATGTTTCTGGAATTTCATTTTTTTGCCAACGAAACTAACGAAAACTCTTCTTTTCACTTCAATATTTTACATAAATCCAATCTAATAGCTCTAGTAGCTTGGTGCCCATTACAGACCAGGGAATTTTATCCATTAAAAAAAACCACACACAACAAAACCCTCAGATATTAGATGCAAAAAACTGTTGCTGATAAATGGTTGCAGTTAGACACTCAACAGCACAGGACAGCAAGTAAAACCAAAACACAGGAACGATGCCCTTTTTAACTAAGGGCATTGCTCATGCCATTAACAACTATGTTAGACACACGGTAAATAAAATTACCAACGATTCCAGCTTTTACTTTCACATTTCCAGAATTTCATGTGTTTGGTGGCTGAGTCTAATGCATTTTGCATGTATTGTTATAACGAGGCAACCGGTTTTGCTTGAGAGTATTTAAGATGTAAGCTACTTGTGGATCAATAACTTTGAAGGATGTGGTGGGAACCGTTGATTGAATTACCTGTTGTTTTCCTGAAAGTTTACTGAGCAATGCGACATGGCTTGAGTCAATGGAGAAGTCAAAGCAGACCTTGGTTAATGCAGCTGCAATTCATGGTTCCAGTGGGAAAAACAAATCAGCTCTAGTGAACCGGCGTTAAGCTGCTACTCTAGAAAATGTAAAAAGATGCTCCTGAATGGCTCCAAGAATCACTGGCTTGAGCATCCCGGCCCTAGGAGATGGGAGCCGCACCAAAGCAGCACCGTAGGTACTGGAAACCAGGTGAGCAACCTCAGCTACAAGGCTGACAATGAATGTCATGGAGTTGCTGTGCTGGAAACGGAGGACTACACTGTGCTAAGAAGGGCTTCCTTCTCCACAGTCTACCACCAGGCCATCTTACAACAAAGGCCATGCCGGGGAATTAGTACTGAACCTCCTGCACTGGGATCTCAGATTAACTAAAGCTTTCCCACTCTGAGAAGTTTGCATTTTCAGATCTCAAACCTCAGTCGTTGCTAGATTTCTAGCAGGCCCAAGCTCGGTCCGTTTGGCTTGGAGGGGCTCACGGCCAAGGCCGAGAGATCCCAAGTGACCAGTGGAGCCGTGTAGAAGCAGAGGTACCACATGCCTCCAGTTCCCAAATTTAACCCGCATCCACAGTTGTTCCTTGAGAGCCACGTGCTGGACTCGCTGGCATCGAACAGCCTTTCTGCAGTCAGCCTGTTAGCGTGCAGAGCGATCATGCTACAAGGGGGAAAGACTTCAGGATACACTTAGTCCTTTGGCGTTTTAGAGGATGTGAAAAGTTATCAAACCCAAAAAACCAAGAGGAAACACCCAAAACGTCGCATGTCTGGGGATGCCTCGTCCCAGTGCCCGTGTTGCTCCCAGAGCAGGGGATGCCGGGGGTACAGTCGCACCCCACTTTAATCCCTGGTCCACCCAAAGTTTAAAACCAACTGCTTGGCAGCAACAGCAACATTTCTAGCTAGACAGCAGCGAGGGAGTCAACTGACTTCACGGCTCATTATAATCTGCCTGATTCCTTCTAACTCTTCACTCCACAGGTGTTACCAACCCTCTCTCCTTTTTAAGCGCCTTAAATGTTTCACTACTCATGCTAACCTTTCTTTGGCAAATTTCCCATGTGCGAACTGCTCCTTATAATGTAGCTCCTGTTTCACAGCCCTGGAGATGATTTTTAACTCTAACTAAAAACTTTAACTAAGGTGTGGAAACAGCATTCAGGGAAGCATCAGATGCATTGTCAAGACTCGCAGAAGGGTTATATTTTGTTTTATGAACAAGAAAGTGATGCACCTTTCATCCTAATGACTACAGCGGTAATGAAACAACGCCTTTTGATTCTTTTTTGGCCTGGTTCGCTGTGCGGGTTGTACACGTAATATAGGAATAGCAAAATTATGGACGTTCCAATCAAGCGATAGTTATTTTTGTTGCAAACAAACCGACAAATAAAGCCCTAGGCTCCTAGCACATTAGTAAAGCTTTTAGTTTCTTTTTAGCTGGAGAAAAAAGACATTGTGTGTATGCAATGAGGCACCACATCATCTACGTCCCGCTTCTTCCAAATCCCAAATCTGCCCGTGATGGCCTTGTACACACTCCCTAGAGAAGTACCAGAGCTTGAGCACGAGCAGTGGTTCACGAAGCAACCCTCGTTGCATTGTTCCCTGGTCCTTTTAAACCCGAGCCTTGCAAAGGACATTCAGAAAATTATTTTCAGCCAAAGTTTTTCCTGACCTTGTACTACAGTCATGGAAATCCCTTCTGGC